TGTTTCTGGCATCTCTTTTAAGATTTGCCTAAAATGGGACAAGGCACTGTCAATGAATACAGATGCAGACATCCTGGCGAGATTGGCGGACACGCGTATGCCACTTTCATACTTTGCTACGAGTTCTTTCTTGAAGTCTATCATGTTTCTCGCCTTCCTTGTCAAAGGGCTGGCACTTGGAACTTTCTTTGGCCCCATGGTAACTTATTTAGCAGTTGCACTCAATAAATAAGCACAAAAAACAATGGATTATTAAGAAATGTTTCGGATGAATGCGTGGGGTAATGCTCACTCAACAAGAAACAAAGCCAGACTGAGGCAGAAAGCGTGGGATGCTTTGTGGGGGTGCGGGCAGGCGGACGCGCTTAGTACAGCGGACCACTGTCAACTCTATGAAAACCAAGCGGATGTACAAAAATTGGGACAAAATTTTGATGAAAAAAGTCGTTGAAAACCAAATCCTATGAAAACCAGGGCATACGAAAACTGAGGTTCCACTCTATATTGATGAATGGTTCCCGAAGTACAATACACACTGAGGGTAATTTCTAGGTTTCACCTTGACTGTAATCTTAAATTTCATTCCCACATCCAGCATATACATATCCAAGAAGATTTCCAAATCAGTAGGCATCCTTTCCAAGATAAAGTACTATGCACCCCAGCTCCTGTGCCAGACAGCACACCCCACCACCTTTCAAAAGCATGAACCTACTTAATATATAAGACATACACTCATATTATTGTGCCTACTATATACAGTCTCTCCTCACTTAGTGATGTACTCATTTACCGACAACTCAGACTTGCGTCAGACTCTCTGACCAGTATGCATACCTAAATAATGGATTTCCTCTATTCTGTTTATTACAATATACAGCAAACTTCTGTATAAGCATTTAAAAATATACTAAAAATGTGATGTTAAAACAATATCAAAGATGGTTGACACAAACCCACTACCATTATAGAATGCTGCATGCGTAGCATCGAATTCGTCTACTGACGTTGCTAAGTGAGGAGAAGCTGTATACAGAACACTAAACTCCAACATAAACCCTCCACTTAAACTTCTCCTTGATGGCTACAACAGAATGTACAGTCACAATACAAAGCAGAGAGCACTCTTTGACATCCCTTGTGTCAGTCTCACACTGTGCAAAAATGCAATGCATATAAAGGGCCTGAAGATCTGGAATTCACTACCTGAACAGGTAAAGGATCCCCTGATTACATACAAATTTAGAGCTATACTTAAAAATCATCTCATCTCTCAATACTAGCCAAACTAACCAAAACAACTTCTAATCAGTTTAAAACAACTCTCCCAAATATTATATGACCTCTAGTCTATTAAAACATCTGCCAATCCTTAAAATATTATTGTTTGAACCAAAAATTGTAATACAGGTCCGCCATCACAAATCCGGCAATCAGTTATTCGGCTTCTTCAATTATTCGGCACTAATTTTGGCTAGCATAATTTCAAATTTCCAGGGTTGCCACACCAACCTGCTGGTACTGTTTGGTGGCACTACTTGCTGCATAAGTCATTCCAATTTCTTTTTCTTCATTTACAGTGGACCCCCGGTTAACGATTTTAATCCGTGCAAGAGGGGTAATTGTTATGCGAAATAATCGTTATGTGAATGAATTTTCCCCATAAGAAATAATGGAAATAAAATTAATCCGTGCAAGACACCCAAAAGTATGAAAAAAAAATTTTTTTACCACATGAAATGTTAATTTTAATACACACAAACTGAAAAAGGCATGCACACTTACATGACACTTACTTTTATTGAAGATCTGGTGATGATTGATGGGATGGGAGGAGGGGAGAGCATTATCTTCTTACTGTTTAGAAGGGGAATCCCCTTCCATTAGGACTTGAGGTAGCAAGTCCTTTTCCGGGTTACTTCCCTTCTTCTTTTAATGCCACTAGGACCAGCTTGAGAGTCACTGGACCTCTGTCGCACAACAAATCTGTCCATAGAGCTCTGTACCTCCCGTTCCTTTACGATTTGTCTAAAATGGGCCACAACATTGTCATTGAAATAGTCACCAGCACGGCTTGCAACAGCTGTGTCAGGGTGATTTTCATCCATAAAGGTTTGCAGTTCAACCCACTGTGCACACATTTCCTTAATTTTTGAAGTAGGCACAATGGATTCCCAACTGGCATAGGCTTCTCAGGGTTAGCCCCAAACCCTTCAAAATCTTTCTTAATTTCCATACTAATTCTCACCCTTTTTACCACAGGGTTGGCACTAGAAGCTTTCTTGGGGCCCATGGTCACTTATTTTCCAGAAACAGCACCGAAAACACTGTAATAATACGAAATATTCCGATTGTATGCTTGGATGTTACCGCGGAGGCTGGCTGGTAAACAATGCCACCGGCGGAACATGTGAGCGCGTCTCGGAAGAAAATCGGTAAGCGGGTTTTTAAGCGGTATGTGAGGCAAAATTTTTGCAATTAAAGTAAGCGGTATGCGAAATAATCGTTATGTGATGCCATCGTTATGCGGGGGTCCACTGTATTGTTATAACCTGCTTACTTTTAGCCCTAGCCATGGTTCCAATGAATAAAAGAAATGCTTTTCATTATGTAAAGCACCGACACAGTACATTATCCATTAAAGATAAGGTGGCTTTGAAGCCACTGTCGGTTGCCATGAGCTCAGTATCATGATGCAGGAGAATATGCTTTATCATTACGCTAATATCAATGCTACAGCTTATTTGCCTATCACAATTGACCTAATATGACATAAGAAACAATATAAATAACATGAAACATGTTAATTACTCCAGAATGAATAATATTTGGCATAACACCGAGCAGTTCGACAGAGGTATGAAGAGGATATGGTATACAAATACCATTCTCCTATCTCTGTCCTGGGGGCTTATATTAGAGAAAACAGAGTGTAGCACAGGGCTAACTGTGATATACACTCGTACTGCACCATAAACATGAAACAAAAAAGTTATTTTCTCTATATAGATTATCACACATAGCAGCATGTGTGTAGAGAACCTAGAATAACCCAAAAAAAGTCAACGTGGCTTATTTTTAGTACCTGGCTTGGGTTAGCCATATATGATTTTTGGTAAATATTCGATTCCCAGCCAGAGTAAAAAGATTAGGCATGTTTCTTTATACCTGTCGTCTATGCTTACCCATCAGTAAATGGGTACCTGGGTGTTAGTCGACTAGTGTGGGTGTTATCCTGGGACAATGACCTAATTTTCTTGAAATACTCTGCATAACAAGCGGCTTTATATATAATAGTATGTCACTGATGTCAGCTAGGCCTGTATACCTTGTACATGTACGTGAGTAAATAAAGATATTATTATTATTATTATTATTATTATTATTATTATTATTGTATTATTTTCTCAGTTGTGTGTTGGGTTATCTTATTCAAACTTGGGCAATGTATGATGGAAAGATACTTCTTCATGTACACCAAAAATGAAAGAAATCAGACCATAAATAGTGAAGTTCATTTCTCAGCCATTAGCGGCCGCTTAGAGGTATATTTTTGTATGGTTGTTATGGTTATACAGTGGACCCCCACTTAACGATCACCTCCCAATGCGACCAATTATGTAAGTGTATTTATGTAAGTGCATTTGTACGTGTATGTTTGGGGGTCTGAAATGGACTAACTTACTTCACAATATTCCTTGTGGGAACAAATTCGGTCAGTACTGGCACCTGAACATACTTCTGGAATGAAAAAATATCGTTAACCGGGGGTCCACTGTATTCTCATTTTTTCGGTCTCATTTGATAGAATGAAAGATATATTACAGAAATAGATATGATTTTGATTGCTTTCATGACGAAAAGTATCTTGAAACTGCGCTCACAGTAGCAAAAATGTTCTATTCTTTAGCGAAGCTCAAGAGTAAACAAATGACGTCACCGTCCAATACCTGTCCGCCTGCCAGTCAAGAATGGGTTGACATTATTTATACAATTATTACAATAATGCAGCAGTCTGCATAACAGTAAATCTTCTATTTTTTTGTGAATAAAAATTCCAAATGAAAAGCAAGAGTAATATAAGAGGGGCTTGTAACCATGACTAATGAGGAGAGAAAATGTTATTTTAGTGCCAGGAATGTCTGCATTGTTTATTCTGGATCCTATTTTGAAATTGGCATCTGTTGAAATTTGTGTGAAATTGGCCAAATTGCCCAAATTTTTGACCACTTTATTGGGTAGTTGAAATAAGTGAATGGGCAGTTTCTTGCACTCAGTTGACAGACTAGAATTAAGTTTATTCAGGTATACACAAATACAGTTACATAGATTATCATACATAGCAGCATATGTATAGAGAACCTGGGATAACCAGAAACGTCAGACAAAGTGACTTATTTCCAGTACCTGGTCTGGGCTTGCCATATACGATTTTCGGTAAATATTTTTTTTTCTCGGTTTTTTGTTGGGCTATCTCATTGAAACTTGGGCAATGTATGATGGGAAAAATTTTCTTAACGTACAACAAAAAAAAAAGACAGATGATAAATAAGGGAGTTAACTTCTCAGCCATTAGGCTGCCTCTTTGCAGTTATTTTTTATATGGTTTTTATGGTTGTATTCTTTATTTTTTTTTGGATCATTTGATAGAATGGAAGATATATTACAGAAACCGACATGATTTTGATTGCTTTCATGACGAAAAGTACCTTGAAATTGAGCTCAAAGTCGCGGAAATGTTCAATTTTTGCCGATGTTCAATGAACAGTGCAAGTCAAGTTGGTTAATTTTATTAAGTGTATTCTAACCTAACCACTCTGTAATCTGGCAAACTCAGCAATCCGGTACACTACAGGTCCCAATGATGCCGGATTTGTGATGGAGGACCTGTATTGTTTTTATGTGCAACTTCAAGATTATTCTCATAAACCTCCACCTTGACTACCTCACATTAGTATTAAGATAAGATAAAGATTTATTAAAAAGTTAACCACTCTTACCTTGTTTAGACTTTAGTTATCACGTACAGTGGTCTCGGTTATCAGCCGTAATCCGTTCCAGAAGGTCAGCCTAAAACTGAAATAATATTTCCCATAAGTATTAACGTAAATAAAATTAATCTGTTCCAGACACCCAAAAATATTAACAAAAAAATAAATTTTTTTAAAGATTAATTATAGTTTTACATACAAAAACAATGAGAACTAAAGAAAATAAATAAATGAACATATAAATCACTATTACATACCTTTATTGAAGACACGGACGAGGAAAGAGGGAGGACTGATTGTTTGGAAGGGTAATCCCCCATAAGGACTTCAGGTATCTAAGCCCTCCCTGCTTGCTACACTCCCTGCCTGTCTTCCACACAACGTTTCCCTGCTACACTCCCTCCCTCCATGCCTGCTACACTACCTCACTCCCTCCATGCCTGCTACACTCCCTCACTCCCCCTATGCCTGCTACACTCCCTCACTCCCTCCATGCCTCTACACTCCTCCACTCCCTCCACGCCTGCTACACTCCCTCATTCCCTCCACGCCACCCTACACTCCCTCCACTCCTCTCACGCACCCTCACTCCTCATCCTCACCTCCCTCCACGCCACCTACACTCCCTCCACGCCACCTACACTCCCTCACTCCCTCCCCCGCCACCTACACTCCCTCACTCCCCCCCACGCCACCTCACTCCCTCACTCCCTCCCACGCCACCACACTCCTCACTCCTCCACGCCACCTACACTCCCTCACTCCCTCCACGCCACCTACACTCCCTCACTCCCTCCACGCCACCTACACTCCCTCACTCCCTCCACGCCACCTACACTCCCTCACTCCCTCCATGCCACCTACACTCCCTCACTCCCTCCACGCCACCTACACTCCCTCACATCCCTCCACGCCACCTACACTCCCTCACTCCCCTCCACGCCACCTACACTCCCTCACTCCCTCCACGCACCTACACTCCCTCACTCCCTCCACGCCACCTACACTCCCTCACTCCCTCCACCCCACCTACACTCCCTCCCTCCACGCCACCTACACTCCCTCCCTCCATGCCACCTACACTCCCTCCCTCCATGCCTCCTACACTCACTCCCTCCACGCCTGCTACACTCCCTCCCTCCACGCCTGCTACACCCCCTCCACCTGCTACAACCTCCCCCCCACGCCTGCTACACTCCCTCCCTCCATGCCTCCCTACACTCCCTCCCTCCACGCCTGCTACACTCCCTCCCTCCACGCCTGCTACACTCCCTCCCTCCACGCCTGCTACACTCCCTCCCTCCACGCCTGCTACACTCCCTCCCTCCACGCCTGCTACACTCCTCCACGCCTGCTACACTCCCTCCACGCCTGCTAAAACCCCCTCCATGCCTGCTACACTCCCTCCCTCCATGCCTGCTACACTCCCTCCCTCCATGCCTGCTACACTCCCTCCCTCCATGCCTGCTACACTCCCTCCCTCCACGCCTGCTACACTCCCTCCCTCCACGCCTGCTACACTCCCTCCCTCCATGCCTGCTACACTCCCTCCCTTCCACAGCATATGTGTAAAGAACCTAGGATAACCCAAAAAAAAGTCAGACAAAGTGACTTATTTCCTTTGGGGTACTGCCTCCCTGTTACACTCCCTGCCAAACTACCTTTCGCAACATTAGCTTCCTTGAATTCTACTTTCTTTGGCAGGATGAAAGTGATTGTTGATTTGGATTTCCCATACATCCCGGCAAGTTCTAGCGCTCTAACACCACTCATACTTTTCAACAACTTCTTTCTTAAATTTCATCGTGTTTCTCACTTTCTTTACCAAAGGAACTTTACTATGAACTTTCTCTGGGCCCATGGTTGCTTATTCTGCAGTAGCACTCAATCAATAGCCACAAAAAACAATGGATTATAGCGAAATGTTTGGATGAATGAGCAGAAGTTTCCTCACTTGCCCAGACACAGCCAGACTGACTCATGAACGCGTGAACGACTGGCAGGTGGACACGTTCAATACAGCCGATAAGCGAAATAATGGCCAGAATAAAACTTTGGTCAAAAAAAATACGGGTGATAACCGAGCTGGCCGATAACCGAGGGTCCACTGTACTAGGATTAGTCTGCCCAAAATGCCCCGGCTTGATAGTGGCTTTCTTTGTACTTAACAAATCAAAATAGTAATTACACACTGTAACCTTTACAAAGAAATAAAATCTTTATTCTTTATTATTCGCTAGCACTACATAGTAAAAGTGAGTACATACGATGTTCATTATTTACTAATGGGTTAGGTTTCACTACATTTGCTTTGTTTGGGTTACATGGGTAATCTGTTCAGTCAGGTTGGATTGGGATGGGTCCACCTTGAGTTCCAGTAGTCAATTTTCCCACAGCCCAGTCTGTGGTCAGGCTTCATGGTCTGGCTGGGTTATCTTGGGTTTGGTTTGGTTAGTTTACATTACATTTTGTGATAGTACAGTATGTTTATTCTTGAATCACAACAATATAAAAAACAATCAGTTTGCACAAACCAATCAATATTTAACACTTTCAATTATGTATAAATTTTCACAAAACTTTGTGGAACCCCTTAACTAAATAGTGGTGCCTTGACTTATGAGTGCCCCAACTTACGAGTTTTCCGAGTTATGAGTTGTCGCTCTGTTGATTTTTTGCTTCAAGTTGCAAGCCAAAATCCTAGTTACAAGCGAGCTCCAGATCCGCCGCTAATTGGCAGCGTATCCAAAGTCAAATCCAACTCTGTTCCCAAAGCAATGTCAGGTACTCTTCCAAGACATAAATGGAAGGATAATACTCCCACACTAATCCCAGACTGTCGTGAGGCACCTTATCCCTTGTTTGGTTCTCGTATAAATCTGGGGAAGAGGCAACCTCCATTTCAACACTCAGTTTTTCTAGAAACATTCAAAGTTTATTCTCTATAAGGATTACAATGCTGAGTTTACAGAATTTGGTTATTGTATTGTTTACATGTAGTAAAATAATAATTACAGAGTGTACCACTAGAACACCTAGCATGGCTAGGCATTTCGGGCAGACTTAAATTAAATCTTAAGTTTAAAATATTACAAAATTATGAGGTAAGTTGGTATTATGGCTAAGTGACTAAATACTAGTTTGTGAGTTTAGCAATGTGAATGCTTTTGTTTTGGCACTATACATAGTTTCAGTATTGGAGTATCACAGGCCAACTTATGACTAGTTAAGATTCATTACTTTGAGATTGAGATTGATATTTCTGTTTATGGTCAAATGGGCGAGTGAGTGTAAGTGTTAACCACCAGGTGGTATTCGTGTAATTAGTTGACAGGGTGTATCAGGGAGATAAGATGTTTTCTGATGGTAGTTTTGAAGGTGATGAATGTGTCTGCAGTTTTAGAATTTTCAGGTAGGGTGTTCCAGATTTTAGGGCCTTTGACATACATTGAATTTTTGTAAAGGTTTAGTCGGACACGGGGAATGTCATAGAGATGTTTGTGTCTGGTATTGTGCCTGTGGGTTCTGTCGCAACTATCAAGAAAGCGTTTTAGGTCAAGGTTAATATTGGAATTTAAGGTCCTGTAGATGTAGATTGCACAGTAGTAAGTGTGGATGTACTGAACAGGGAGTAAGTTTAGATCTATGAAGAGTGAGGGGGTGTGTTGCCAGGGATGGGATTTAGTGATTATTCTTACTGCAGCTTTTTGTTGGGTTATTATTGGCTTTAGGTGTGTTGCTGCAGTTGAACCCCAAGCACAGATAGCATAGGTGAGGTATGGATATATAAGTGAATGGTATAGTGTGAGAAGGGCAGTTTGCGGCACATAGTATCGTGTCTTGGAGAGGATCCCCACCGTTTTGGATACTTTTTTGGTTATGTGTTGGATATGGGTGCTGAAGTTCATGTTGTTGTTGAGGTATAGGCCTAGGAATTTGCCCTCATTATGCCTGGCAATTAGAGTGTTGTCGATCTTAATGTTAATTTGCGCATCTCCTGCTCTGCTACCAAACATAATGTAGTAGGTTTTGTCAGTGTTAAGCGTAAGTTTATTGGCTGTCATCCAAGTCGATATTTTGATCAGCTCCTCATTAACCCTTTGAGGGTCGACAGGCCCTCTCCGAAACTCGTTCTCAGGGTCGGCCAAATTTAAAAAAAAAAAAAATTATTTTCTCTTATGAAAAGATAGAGAATCTTTTCCCGATCATAAGGACACCAAAAGTTTGAAATTTGATGGAAAACTTATGGAATTATGCTCTCGCAAAGTTAGCGGTCTCAGCGATGTTTACGCATCGGCGATTTTGCCCACTTTGAGCCCCATTTTCGGCCAATTCCACTGTACTAGTCGACAAAAAAACATGAATATTTCGCTAAAACTCCATTTTTTCTATCGAATGGGTGCAAGAAAAAACCATTTATGAAATTCAACTACCCAGTACAGTGGTCAAAATTTTAGTTTTTTCCCAAATTTTCAACAAATTTAAAAAGACCCAAATTTCCGAATGGGTAGAATAAAAAAGAAAGACATTTGGCACTAAAATGACATTTCCTCTGGTCTTAGTCCGTCTAAAGGGCCCCCCTCTTAATTCTTTTGCTTTCCATTTGAATTTTTTATTCTCACAAAAAAATTAAGATTTACTGTTTATGCAGATCTGCTTGTGTAAAAAATGGTTAAAAAATTTTTTGGTGCACTTGTGAAAGTATTAGATCCCCTTTGAGGTATTCCCGCTTGGCGATTTTTTTATTTTGAAATTTGGTAAAATCGAACTTTTTGCTATTTTGAGCTAAATTTCGGGGTACCTTTCATTGTAAAATCAGTCAAAATCATCTCAATTTCTGTAATATGTCTTCCATTCTATAAAATGGACCAAGAAAACTAAAATACAACAAAAAAATACCATCAAAAAATACAGGCAAAGTCGGTTTTTTTTCCCAAAAAAAATGGTAAAAGTTTTTTTTTTTCTCATTTTGCACGGGGTTGCTGCAGGATTTTTTTTAGCTGGCCACGACCACATGGCCCCTTTTCTTTATATAAAGGGCCCTCCAGCTTTCTCCCACTAGATTTGAGGGCGCTAAAATTTGGGGTATGTACGTCAAAACCTGGGTCGTAGCCGTACTAGTACGTCCGAAACCCTCAAAGGGTAAAACAAGGTTTGAGGGTGGCAAAGTTGGGGTGAGAGATGCAAAAGTATGTCGTCGAAAAGGGAGAATGGGGTTCGGTGTTGGATTTTTGGAAGTCATTATGTATCGGGAAGGCAGGGGCCCGGACATTTCCCCTGCGAACTCCGTTCAAGTGGCGTTTTGGTTATGTGTGTCTTTAAGGTGACTATGTCCTATTAGTAAGGAAAGATTTAAAAATATGCAAGCGCAGGGCCTTTTATAACTAATGGTAAGTTTGTGGAGTTGATGCGTGGTTAGTGAAAAAAGCTTTTTTTGGTCATAAAAATCCTAGGGATTTCCTTTTTTTCCCAAATGCGGGGTAAAGCAAATTAGCATTTTTATGATTGAGTTTGCCCGTTTTTTTTTAAATTTGGGGGGGGGTTTTTTTGGCCGTTATTTAAATGAATATGTCCCCTGTGCACGGTTTCTCAAAGTTTTGGTAGCATGGTAAGTTTGTTTGGGCCCTATAGTTGTTTAAATCTGTAGGGTCAACCCCCTTTATGTACTGTGTAACCCTTGCCGTCTTGAGTGTTTGGGGAAAGGGTAGTTTTAGGCTTGTTAAAAAGTAATGGATAGCATGGGGGGGACAGGGGCCCGCTTTTTGTAAATAAGGTGGGACATGGCGATTCCGAGTTATTTTAAGTGACTTATAATTCGGTGACTTCCATGGGCTCTTTGAAGAAGATAGAAGGTTTTTGGGGAAAATTTCCCCTCAGGAGTCCCGGCATGGGATTGGTGCGTGGGATTTTTTTGGCGAGATTAAAACCCTAGGGTTTGAGAAAAAAGTGTTTTTTATTACCTGTGTCAGTGGGATGCAGTGGTGTTTATTAGGTTTATTTAGGGCAATATTTTTTTTTTTTTTTTCATTTTTTGGGCCCCCAGAATCTGAGAGAGTGTTTTTCCGGTTTTTTTTTATTTTCCTCTTGTGTCGGGAAATCTACTGGAGTAGAAAGTTTTTTGGGGCTTTTTTATTACTTTGGTGAGGCTGATGAATAGTGTTTAAAAATATCTTTGTGTATTAAGCCCTCCTATATTGCTTTTTTTTGGTGTTTCTTATCTGGTTTTCGATGGTGTGGTTAGCCATGGGAACCAACCCGTTTTTTTGTGATCTGTTTCGTTTTTTTAGGAAAGTTTGTTGTTAAAAGGTTAAGAAATTTTGTTAGAAAAATGTCTGTCAGTCGAAATACTTTGGGCCTTGGAGAATTTGTGGGCCCAGTCAACAGTCTCTAGGTCTCGGGGTGAACTTCCCTTATTGGGGCCTCATCAGGAGTTTAAATAAAAAACTTTGTTTATTCAAGTGGGGTTAAAATGTTGAAAGGGGAAGGTGGGTAGTGGTTGTAGTGCTATCTGTGATTATCCTGTTTAAGGGGGGTAGTTATTGGCCATATGTGGTCTATTATGGTTGCCTCGTTTTAGTGAGCCTGGTTGGTTTTTTGTTATTGTGGTTGAGAGTGTGTTGTTATATTGTTTATGAAAAACAGTTAAGGTGATTTTAGAGGCCCAAGGGTTTATGTTGAAGTCTCCCGCTAAGAAAAAGGTGGTGCTTTTTATTTGTTTTTTTGTTATTTGTGCCTTTAGTTTCTCACTGAAATTTTGGGGTGTTTGTGTGGGGTATCCGGTTATGGCACCGATTGTTATAGGCGTCTTAAGATTTTTTACAGAAAAAATTTGCAAAAAAGTATTTTTCCATATTCATCACTAAAGAAGTGGTGCTTCAAAAATAAATTTGGTTGAGTATAGATTGCAATTTCCACCCCCAATTTGGTTTGGTCTGAGTTTTTGGGTTGCGTGTACCCGGTAGGGGTAGATATTATTATGTCCCGCTTAAGCCAGGTCAGTAAGAATAAAGCAGGGAAGGGTTTTTCTTTAGTGATTCAAGGGGTCCCGGGGTCATATGTGTTTGCTTAAGGACCTGATGTTTTAGTTAAGTTGAAGACTTTTGCTTGTTTAGGTTGTGCTGGCTTGTGTGCTGTGTAGTAAAGGATTCTTTCCCAAAAGGTTTTGATTGGGTTGTCGTTTGGAGGTTTAGATCAGGGTACGTGATCAATCATTTCTAGGTTTTAAATTATGGTTTATTTAATCCCGAGGTGTGGGGTTTGGTTTTTTGTACTGATATCTGTAGTGGGGGGAAGTTTGGACAAGTTATAGCTATAGTTTTGGTATGTAGGTATATCACTAAAACACATAAAGGAGTTTGGGGTTTTTATGGTTGTGCTGGAATGAGCAAAGTACAAATAGGTATAAAAAATAATATAAAAATACAAATTAAAAATAGAAAGACTCTCACTTGTAATTGCACTAAGGTCTAATGTAATGACTTGGTATGTCTTGTTTTAGTAAATGAGCTATAGTACAACTGGTTTTTTCTAATAATATAAAAATACAAATTAAAATGCCCCCGACTCTCACTAGTAATTCCTATGGTCTAACATAAGAATTTGGTATTGATATGTATTGAGCTAGAAGAGCTATAGTCAAAGAGTTTAAACTAATGATATAAAAAAAAAACCAAGACTTCAATTGTAAATTTCACTAAAGGGCTTATATAAATTGTTTTCAAGAAATTGAGTATAAAGATTTAAAATTTACAAAATAAAAATAGAAAATTAAGGTAGCAAAATAATATAAAAAAGTAGAAAAAAAAAAATTTGAGGTGTTGGTCTAGTTAGCAAAAAGAAGTTAAAAGGGCCCGAACAAAATTTAAATTTAAAAATTAACTAATTTCCACACATATAGTCACTAAAAATTTTTTTTTATTTTTTATTATTTCCAAATTTTTGCAACATACAGAGGTACAAAAAAAAACAGATAAGAGCGTATGCCAAAGCCACTTTTTACTATGCATGCATAGGGCTGGCTTAAATTAATTAAGTTAACTAAACAATTTTTTTTTTTTTTTTTTTTTTTTTTAACAAGTCGGGTTCCCACCCAGGCGGGGGGGACCCAAAAAGAAGAAAATCCCCCCCAAAAGAAAATACTTTCATCATCATTCAAAACTTTCACCCACTCCCCACATTATCATGTTTTTTCGGGTCTCAGAATAAACAGTTAGAAGCATTAAAATATAAAGAACACACATATCCCCCAAACTGCCAAAATCCCAAAAACCCCCCCTTTAAAGGCAGGCATTGTATTTCCCCTTTCCGGCTCAAGTCCCACTATTGAAAAAAACCCGGGTTTTTCCCGAAACCCCTTTACTAAATTTTACCCGTCAACCCCCAAAAGATCGTCAGGTCCCAAAATACCATTCGTCTCATTCACCCATCTAACACCTCCCCACGCTTTCTGGAAAATCCAAGCCCCTTACCCACAAAACCTCTTACCCCCTCTCCCAACCCTTTCGAGGACGACCCCTACCCCCCCTTCCTTCCCCTATAGATTTTTATGCTTTCCTGTCTTCTACTGTGTCCCTTCTCTAAATGACCAAAAACCCCTCAACAAAACCCCCCTTCTGCCCCCCTTTACTAAATTTTATTAACTCCCACTTCTCCTAAATTTTCCCCACTCCGAATTTTCTGCTAAAATTTA